GTAGATCCCACTATGGAGCTGATTGCCAGTCTAATCATGGGGAACTACCACCACCTGCCCAGCCATTCAACCAGGCCCAGTCAAGTTGATACACAACCTGAACTACCACAGGTCCTCATTCCTACTCTGTCTAGAAGCTCCACTGAAACCTGTCCACCATGGGTGACTGTTTTTGTTGCCCAGTGCCACTCTAACAGAAGATACCACAAATGAGATGGCTCGAACAAATGGGGATATGTTAGCTTAACAGTTTTGGAGGCTAGAAGTCCGAGTTCCAAGTGCCAGGCTCTAGGCGCTAGGTGAAAGCCCCCTGACCTTGGGCTTTAGCTCTGCCTCTTGTTCCTAGCCCACTGAAGCTGGAGTCTTTCTTCATTCAAACAGCTGCTGGCCACTGAGGCTGAGAAACCAAAGGTCGACAAGTAAAAAGGCATAGTCCCAATATTACCAAACTACACAGCAGGTCATTGATTCAAGTCTATTAAGAGTCCCAAGATTGGCAGACAGCATGGCAGGCTGCTGAACAATGACTCAGCTACGTGCAGGATTCAAGCGTGCCAAAAGCTAGAGACCTTCCTCAAAGTTGGTTCTTATATACCGGAACTGGTTCTTACATACTGCTCCAGTAGCTTCCACCATGAAGATGGTTACCAATCTCACCATGAGGAATAACTACATCCAGCTGCCCAGCCACTCAAAACCAGGCCCAGCCAACTAGACATATAACTTTAACTACCACAGTGATCCTGACAGTATTTGAAATACTGGTGGCATAGCTTCCAGTATCACAGCAGCATGAAAACCACCACAGTACAGTAAACTGACAGAAAAGTGTTGGAATGTCACAAGTAAAACTCATTATTTCTGATGAGCCCCTGCTCACCATCCTCCAAAGAGTCCTAACTGCTTCTGCATAGTTCCTTGTGTGGATCAATGGCATCATCATATACTCAAGTTCCCAAGCCTGAAACCTGGGAGGTAATTAAAATTCCTTCCCATCTCCATCTTTTCACATCCATCTGTGTCTTGCTAAATAGGTCTTGAGTTTATTTCTCCTCTTCATACATCATGCCTCCCTTATCATTTCTTAACTAGATAATTGCAAGTCTCTTGTTTTACCCCACTTGGTCACACAACCATCTTTTACAGTAACATTACTTTTAGTTATTTTTTCTACTCTGTAATACAGGCATTGAGCTCTGGTAGCATAGTGCCAAAGGTATTTGACTGCTAACCAGAAGGCTGGTGGTTCAAACCCACCAGCCATTCCTTGAAAGGAAGGTTGGGCAATCTACTTCCATAGTGATACTGCCTCGGAAACCCAAGGAGGGGTCGCTATGAGTCGGGTCCAACTCGACGGCATATAACAACTATAATACAGGCATAACCAGCTTCTCTGCAGGAGAAACTTGTGGTAGTCTGCTTCTGTAACGATTACAGCCTTGAGTACCCTTATTGGACAGTTCTATTCTGTCCTATAGGGTCACTATTAGTTGGTATTGACTCAATGACAATGAGTTTAGTTTTTGGTTTGAATACATAATTGTCATTCAATAAACATCAAATATCAATTACAATGTAACTATAAGCAAACTAAAGAAATATTAGGCCACAGCAGTATAATACTCAGTGATTTTCAGTTTTGGACACCATATTTGGAGATAGTCATGGAGGATGTAGACTGTCCACTTGGATAGTGCAGGGTTTAGTAATGCTGTGACAGTCTTAAGAAAAGACTTAAGAGGAGGCACAGCTCCTTTGAATCTCTAAAGAGCAGGAGCAGAAGCAGCTGACAAACAACGACCCAGCTCCTCTACCACATGGAAGTTTGCTCTGTGCTGCATCATCATGCTGTGCTTTCACCTGCACTGAGATGTATTTAACTTATTTGTATAATAAAAGCTGAAGCACTGAAGTTTGCAAACAATTTACCTTCTACTCCCCCCACCCCTCTTAAACTGAAGTGGATTCAATGGTACCTCGATAATGTCACTCCTGCTCACTTATATTCCAATAATTTATAGACCCAGGAAACTGGGTGTAAGCCACAGTCCACCTTATCTGTGCTTCCACCCTGGAAAAACGTTGAGCCTGTGAACATTATCCTTGGCATTGGGGCACATGTGGAGAACTGTCAGAGCAGGGACCATGACTTTGCATGTTGTATCTTTCCCCAGAGGCTGGCAGTTAACAAATGCTTGAAGAAAGAAAGGAGTGAAGGTTTGAGGATGGATCAACAGAATATGAAAGAAAGTGACCAAAAAGACAGAGAGAGAGAGAGAGAGAGAGAGAGAGAGAGAGAGAAAGCAAAGTAATAAGTAAGGAGGCTAATTATTTACTTTCTTAGAAACAGGTAGATGTTAACTGTAATCAGATTTTAACTCAACATAAAAAAACAAAAACCTTAGCAATTAAAGCTGCTTAAGTAGAGACTAGGAGCTCTGGTAGCATAGTGCCTAAGGCACTTGACTGCTAACCAGAAGGCTGGCGGTTCAAACCCACCAGCCACTCCTCCTCAGAAGGAAGATGGGGCAATCTACTTCCGTAGTGATACTGCCTCAGCAACCCAAGGAGGGGTCCAACTCGATGGCACATAACAACAACAACAACAATAGAGACTAAGGTGCTCCGGTGGTGCTGTGGTTAAGGCATTGGGCTGCTAAACAAAAAGTAAGTGGTCCAAACCCACCAGCTGCTCCATGGGGAGGAAGATGAGGCAATCTACTTCACTCAAGATTTATAGCCTTGGAAACCTGTGGGGGTCGCTATGAGTTGGAATCAACCTGACGGTAGTGGGTAGAGACTATGGAAAACTGACCAGATGAACTCTAAATTTCCCTCCAATTCTTTGTTCTATGATTGCAGGTTTTGTTTCCCCAACAATGCTTCTGAGTGAATAGTGGCATTCAATAGAATTATAATCAAAATAACATCAACAAAGCAGAAATAAACTGATATTTTTGCTAATAATGTTTGTATTATTTTCTTAATTGAGTCTTCATTGTTTCATGAAGAGATTGGCAAATGGATATGCAAAATTCTCTTTTAGTTCGCTTCCTTGCAAGATGCTCATTGGCTTAACTGGCACTGCACTGAAGTACCTTGTGTTTTTTTTTTTTTTTATGTTAAAGGAAAGAATAGAACATTCCTGGGCTAACTTCTAGACATGATGCAAATTTAAAGCAATTCAAGATGTTATTTCTGGGGGAGGGGGTAAAGTTAAAGAAAAAATGTTTCTCTAAGTGAATCCAGAGTTATGTATTTGTGGAAATCAAATGGAGCTGAGCTGCAGAAACTCATAAGGCAAAGAGCTAAAGCTAAAGAAGCCAGAGAGCAAACGTGACAACAGTAACCTCTGTCCAGCCTCCCAAAACCTCAGATTTCTTAATTCTTAACTCTTTGGCCCTTCAGAATATACACAGTCCATGCTACCAGTCCCTGGAGAAGGATACCATGCTTGGTAAAGTAGAAGGTGGGGGCACAAAGCAGAAGACCGTCAAGGAGATGGATTTCACAGTGGCTGCAACGATGGTATCAAGCATAGTAAAGATTGTGAGGATGGTGCAGGACTGGGCAGTGTTTTGTTCTGTTGTTTATGAGGTCTCTATGACTCAGAGTCAACTCAAGGGCACCTAACAACAACACTACAATAGGAACTTGATTATCTGAGCAAGTCTACCAGGGACTTTTGCTTCCCCTGCAGTACCCTGCCTAGTACAAAGCAGTGCTTAATGTATGTTACTTTGATATCATAAAACAGAAAGTATGAAAATCGGGAGAGTTAGGTAGCTTGCTTTCACTGGAAAAATGGGATTTTAGTCTTTTTTTTTTAAGTACTATTTTCACAAACAGTCCAACCGAAATGTTGTGGCACTGCCAAATTGAGAGCATGGACCCTGCCTCTTGGATAAGACACTAGGTTTCGTCCACTATTAAGAGTAGAATTGAGTGCAAAACTCCCTTAAATTTCTATTACGAACGTGCACGTTTTCCTTCCTTCCTCCTGTGTTGTTCTTAGGTCCCGTAAGTCTTCACCGACTCATAGCGACCTTATCTATGTACAAGAGAACAAAAACACTGCCAGGTCCTGCGCCATATAGCCTGTGATACGGCATAATTCCATTAGGATGGGTAATACACTAAGTTTTACTCACTGCAAGTACAATTGTAGATTGATCTGGTTGATGTAAGTCTTGAAAGTCCAGTGAAATTATACATTTTACTAATAATCTAACAATATAAATTCTTGTAAGTTTAAGGGCCTGAGTAACCTCTCATTAGCACTCCAAACACACACACATCCCCAACCTGCTCTCTCCAACAGGAAGGAAATTTCAGAAAAGCATCAGGCTGCAAGACCGACAACTATTGTAGTTTTCGAGATGCCCAACGGCAATTTAATGGTTCAAAGTGAAAAAAGAGCAGCGGGAAAGAAACTCCATCAAAGGTGCAAGAGTAGACTCCTTGCGGCTTCTCATCGAGGGAAAGATAAGAACCAAGGTTAGAAATACAGCAGCAGAGCGTAGACCAAGCCGTGTTTCAGTTTACGCTGTGCTAGTCATAGACCACACATCTTTACATTACCCAAGCGGGATTCCCTGGAGCCCATTTCCCCCCCTTGGAATCACTTGGATTCCACCAGTGGAATTACACCAGGACCCAGGGGTCGGAATTGGAAGCGCCCACTTCGAATAGACTTCACCAGACGGGAAAGTCGCCTGGGGATGCCGCTTTTCTCAGAGCCCCAGGAAGCCTTCTTTCGCAAGCAGGTGGGCGGACGACCCGGGCCGAAGAGGTGCTAGGCAAGGAAGGGGGGACTGGGCCCCCTCCCAGTGACCTCCCGTCCGCCCCGCCAGGGGGAGCATCTGCGCCGGTCGGCAGGCAGCAGGGAAGAGGCGGGGGTGCAGGGCCGCGGTCAGCTTTCGGAAGCCCGCCGGCGTCTCCACCCCCTCCCGCCGCCCGCCCCCGGCGTGGCCCTGCCCGCCCCCTCCGCCCCCTCCCGGGCGCCATGCGCAGACTCAGTTCCTGGAGAAAGATGGCGACAGCCGAGAAGCAGAAACACGACGGGCGGGTGAAGATTGGCCACTACATCCTGGGAGATACGCTAGGGGTCGGCACCTTCGGCAAAGTGAAGGGTGAGGATCCCCGGGGCAAAGTTGGACGCTAGCTCGGGATCTAGGCGATTTCTGCTTCCCGCACCTCCTCGTGCTCCCCTGCCCCAGCCCCAGAGCCGGGGCTGGGCAGCTCCTGTCCAAGCTTCGACAGAGCCTGGCCCAAGGCCGCGGCGGAACTGTGGCGCGGCGACCCCCAGCTGGGTGGGGGTGGGGATGGGGTGGGGCCCGGTTGCCATAGCGACAGCGCTGCGGCCAGAGGGACTTGTAGAGGCTGGGAGCCGAGATGCGGAGGTGTGAACTTTCCCTGGCGGTGGAGTCGGGTTGCTGCGTGGATTCTGGGTGGGGGCGCCGGGAGTTCCTCAGAGGGGAGCCCCAGAGAGGTGGCCTCGTTTTCTCTCCGCGTTGAGCTTCTTTGGTTCGTGGCCAGCCCATTGCGTCCCCAGCAGTCTTCGGCATTGTTCGTATATCCGTTCTGATTAAGAGGCTGTTGATTTACCTGCTCTTGCTGATTCCCGAGTGTGAAGTGTGTGTGTGTGTGTGTGTGTGTATTATATTTAAGGGGAGCTCTGGTGGCGTAGTGCCTAAGGCACTTGATTGCTAACCAGAAGGCTGGCTGTTCAAACCCACCAGCCACTCCTCGGAAGGAAGGTTGGGCAGTCTACTTCCGTAGTGATACTGCCTTGGACACCCAAGGAGGGGTGGCTATGAGTCAGATCCGACTCGACGGCAATGAGTTTGTATATATTTAAAGCTATCTCGTTGGAAAGAATCGCTGAATTCCTTCGGAACAGTTCACATAAACTGGTCCTACATTTGCGATGCGTCCTGACGGCCGACTATGCCTTCAGGTGGTTCCGAGTTGTGGGGAGTTTTGCATTCTGTGTGCGGAATTCGGTAGCTGGTGCAGATGTTGCCTCAAGGTAGAACTTCTTAGTTCATTTATATAGTTAGTTTTCATTTATTTTCAAAGGATGATGTTTATATGTTAATAAACAATTCAATGCATGTCATTTGGATATATATTTTTTTTTTTAAAGAAAAGCATGGTATCTCTTAGCACTTGTGTTTCAACATTATTTTGGAAATAATGGACTTGGACTCCAGTCTGCTAATTCTGACACAAAAAGTGTAATTGCAGGATTTATGAAGCGTTTTTTTTTTTTTTAATTTTAAATATTTAATTTTTGTTAGGGTTGTGGATGAAGGGAGTACAAAACTGAAAAACAAGTCGTCCGTTTGTTTTGGATAAACAATAGATTATTACTTGCATATACTAAGCCCTTAGTAAATGTTTGACTTGATAGGAAAAAAAAAGTTTGTGAAAGTCAGTACAGTGAATTAACTGAGCTTTGCTCTCCCAGAGCTAAATAAACATTTTCTGATCTTACCTAAGGGTGGAAGGGGAGAACCTTTCCTTCTTTTGCCTTTGAGTCACAGAACTAGAAAATTGCTGGTAGCCCACAGGGAAGCAGCTGCATTAAACTTACTAAGAAAATTGTTGTTATGTGCCGTCGAGTCGGACTCGACTCACAGTGACCCCTCCTTGGGTTTCCCAGACAGTATCACTATGGAAGTAGATTGCCCCGTCTTCCAACCCAGCAACCTTCTGGTTAGCAGTCAAGTATCTTAGCCACTATGCTACCAGAGCTCCTATTTAGTAGGCCAATAATGCAAGGAAGTAAGAAGCAAATGCCAGAATAGAGTAATAACTGTCATTACGGTGAGTCACTTTAGTCCAGTAATACATTTCTGTGCCCTCAAAGCTATTTATTTATTTTTGGCTCTGCTATCTCTTTACTTGTTAGCAGTTATAACCTGTTTTTTAGTCTACCAGTGTTTATAAGAAATGCCCATTAATGCCCCTCGAACAGTGATAAGCCAGTCTGTTTTGGTCCTCTAATGCTGCTCTAGGAGCTCTGGTAGCGTAGTGCCTAAGGCACCTCACTGCTAACCAGAAGGCGGCTGTTCAAACCCTCCAGCCACTCCTCGGAAGGTAGGTTGGGCCATCTACTTCCGTAATGATACCGCCTTGGAAACCCAAGGGGGTTTGCTATGGGTCAGGTCCAACTCGATGGCACATAACAACAACAAGTGCTGCTCTAACAGAAATACTACAGGTGGGTGGCTTTAACAAACAGGAGTTTATTCCTTTACAGGTTAGGAGGCTAGAAGTCTGAGTTCAAAGTGCCAGCTCTAGGGGCTGGGTGAAAGTCCCTCACCTTTGGGCTTCAGCTCTGCCTCTTGCTCCCAGCCCACTGGAGCTGGAGGCTTTTCTTAACTCAGGCAGCTGCTGGCTGCTGAGGCTGACAAAACCTAAATAAAACAGCACAGTCCCAAGATTACCATACAACATGGCAGGTCACTAGTTCAAGTCCAGAGACAGTCCCAAGATTGGCAGGAAACATGACATGCTACTGACTGAAGACTTGGCTACATGCAGGGTCCAGGCATGCCAAAAAAGCTGCAGAAACCTTTCTCAAAGTTGCTTCTTATGTACTACAAGCAGACCACATCCCTAAGGCCGCTACTCAGCTGCTCTAGTAGATTGCACCACAGAGTTGATTACCAGTCTCATGATGGGTAATAACTACATCCAGCTGCCCAGCCACTTAAAACCAGGCCCAACTAAATTGACACATAACCTTAACTACCACACAGTTTTGATGCCCACTCCATTGGGATTAGGGTGTTCCTTACTCCTCTAAGATAGACTTGAGCAGAGTCAGAGCTGATTTTTGGCATGGTGGATAGAAAAGCAAGAAGAGATTTTTCATTTTCTGTGTTTAATCTATGATGTGGCTGTGACGTGATTCTCTCCAGTGACTCTGGTGTTCCTTAGCCTTTACTTCTCCATGTATGTCCCTCTCTTGACGTACCATACTTCATCAAAGTCAACCACTTCCTCATATACAGAAGGGCCAATGTGGGTCATAGGGCCATAAGTTTTGTGAATGTGGTTAGATTTGTTTATAAATACATTAGATGATGTTGGTCCAAATTCTCAGTTCATTTTTAAGTTGTCAAACAGGATGCTTTTGGCCACAGTAGAAAATCCACCTGAATCTGGTGAAGAACATTTCTTTGGGTAGTGGTACTCTGTCCAGAACAAGGAAGCCCAGGGTACTTCTTGTGAGTCTCACTGGCAAGGGGTGCTGTGCCAGTTGCCTGAGGTTTATTTTCTTAAGTAGGACTGGCAAAGGGAGTAGTATTATCCTTGGAAGAATATCCAAGGTCCACCCTTGGATGTGCATGTGGGGGACATCTCTTTCTGAAGTACACCTACTCCTCACTTACTATCTCAGCTGATAGTTTGCATTTAGAGTAATAGTAAAACCGTTTTGCATGTTAACGACATATGTCTATCAGTAAGGAATGCTGAGGTGCTTATTGTTGTTGTTGTTGTTATGTGCCGTCGAGTTGGACCCCACTCATAGCGACCCTTCCTTGGGTTTCCAAAGTCGTATCACCACGGAAGTAGATTGCCCAGTCTTCTTTCTGAGGAGTGGCTGAGGTGCTAGGTGAGAGTAATTTTGTTTTTGATGGTTAAGGTTATGTGTCAACTTGGCGAGGCTATGATTCTCAGTGGTTGGCAGTTATGTAATAATGTAGGTCATCCTCAATTTTTGCTTAACATCAATTTTTGCGTAATGACCTTTGGAACCTAACCATGTCAGTAAGTGAGGGTTGGGGTGTCCTTCTATAGTGTGAGAGGATTGCGTAGGTACCCGTACAAAGATAGACTATAGATTGAAGGAAAGAGGAACAAAGATATGGATGAGCAGGCAAAAATAGCTATTATAGTGGTGATGTTAGTAACTTAAACTAGCCTTAATGTACTAGGAATTCTTTTGAATAATAGGTTTAGCCGTTTATTTTGATGGAGACAGTTTGGAATAGAGCTTTTAAAATTAGTTACACACATTGGCAGATTTAACATATGAAAAGAATTTAATAGAAGATGTAATACTGAAAGGCAGAAAAATGCCTAATATGATAGTCCATGTTTCTTTTTTTTTTTTCAATTTTATTTTGATTTGGGTGAAGATTTACAGAGTAAATTCACTTTTCATACAGCAGTTC